AAACCTGTTATACCATGGGTAACGTACAGTCCAGGTTAAAGTCGTCATTTGATCAGTAGAGTGTTTTTTTTTGTTAGTTTTCTGAAACACCTTTAAATGTGTTAACTGGCGCTGATGACTTGTGTTCTCTTTATAGAGTTGTCGTTTTCACGGACGTTACATTAAAGAGTATATACAAATTAAAAAAACATTGGGAATTTAGTTGCTGCTACGAAGATACACGAGTCTTCGAGCTTTTTCTGTTGAATGTACATTAGAATCTATAAAAATTATTATGTTTAAGTTTTCGTTTCAGTTTCACGTTTTGCGTGCGTCGACACACAGTGCACGCTCATTCTTTTATAAAACTATACATTTCATAATGTAAGTATGAATGAACAAGTTCTTAATTCACGTGTCTATAATTGCGCGCAATCAATTACATACAATTGAATAATTATGTCATTATCTAATTAACATTAATAATATAAAATCGATTGATTTATCAACAAATCAATCAGATCTGACCGTAATTGAAGCACGAGTGAAATTATTTGTTTATTTGTATCTAAACTTTTATAAAAAAATAAATTAGTAATTTCTCCAAAATGTACGTATTGGTAAACAATTTTGAACAGCAAACATGCAAATGTTGATATTGAAAAAAAAAATGTACTTTGAAACTAAAAAAAAGTAGTTCAATGATGATAGGTGATCATTGTCAATTACTTGAACAACACAAATGTTTATACTTTGATCGTATAAAAACTATAAGTTTTTTCATATTACAATGACAAACTTGTTATGAAGTAAGTAAGTTTTTTNATATCTCTTTCGAATATTTTTGGGAAACAACTGTTTAGAAAAACATATTATAAAATTAGTGAAATCAGAGAAAACAGTGACGATTTATATGATTTTCATATCTAATTATTAAGAAATTGTAATTACTAAAAGTAATCATAAATTAGATCATACTTTTATACAAATAATTGAGAAAACATAACAAGACGTTAACGTTTATTTTACCAACAAACAATTAAATATTTAATTTGTATTCAGAGTAAGAGAGTGGTAGATAATTGTACCAATTACGTTGTAATTGTTTAATATATTGTTATGATCTTGTGATGAATTTAGACCCAATTACAACTGGATTTAATTGCCACTCTAATTGTAAAGTGACATCAAAATACAGTGCAAAATAAGTGCATACTTATTTATAGATTTTTCAATAAGAAAAAAACACTTTTTTTCATTTCTCATAAATATTAATACATTGCGTCTTTTGTTGAATTGTGGTTTAATATTCGATATATCATCAAGCAGTAAACTGGCGTAAGTGCTGCTTGACAGTGGTGACTGTGCGTTTTATTGTTCCTACCAGATTATGTAAGTTATTATTTTGGAGGATTAATTATATATATATATGAAAAGAAAACTTGCAATTTCGTATTGTCTAATGGTTACAACATATCTATTGTCATGTATACATTTTGTAAATCATCCATCAATTATGTTATTAAATAAATTGAAGGTGATGGTCATTTTTTTATGGTAAATTTTCTTGAAATTTCGTAACGAAATTAAGTATATTAGATAATTGATAAACAAAATAAAAAGAATCAAAAAAATAAATGTAATAAAGGTTAAATGAAACGTTATGAATAAATCACTGTATTATTTTAACGTTATTGAATATTAATAGTTTTTATTAATACAAAATAATTTAAAAAAATATAAATAACAAAGTCTAAGTGTTTTAAAAAGAAAATCCGTACTCGAGATTTTTCGACTAATTGAAGTTTATGATGATCAAATCAATGTCATAATTGAATTGGATCGTCATATAACTATACAAGAAGTTAAATTTATCATGCGCAACATCTGAAAATCACTAAATGTCTTAGATTCGTTAAGTCGAAAAGTTAACACAACGAATCATTATTTGCAATATTCAGCTCAAACGCAATGAATTCGGGACTTTTTTTTAAACAAATCATCACTAGTAATGAAAAATGGATCATCTACAATAACATCAATTGAAAACGATCATGATCTAAGCATGATAAACCAGCACAAACTAAATCAAAAACTGAATTGCATTAAAAAAAATCATGCTATCAATTTGGTTGGATTACAAAGGTGTTCTGTAATTTTGAGCTACATCCAAGGAACCTAACAATCAATTCAAATGTTTACTATCGACAACTAATGAAACTGGAGGAAGAAATCAAAGAAAAATGCCCATAATTGATAAATCATTTCACCAAAACAATGCAAATCCTCACACATCTTTGGTAACTCGTGGTTAAATATTGGAGCTTGATTGGAAACTGATATCGCATTCCGCATATAGCCCTGACCTTGTACCATCAGATTGCCATTTATTTCAAAGTTTGTAAAACTCTTTGAATAGTAAAACTTTAATTAATTACGATGACCTAAAAATCGCACTTGGTTCAGTTTATTGCTGATAAGGGCCAGCAGTTCTATGAGCGCACAATCATGAAGTTCTCAAGAAGATGTCAAAAAGTCATCGAACAAAATGGAAAATATATAATTGATAAAAATTCATTTTTTGTATACAAAAAAAAGAGTTTTTATTCACACTAAAAAAACAGAAATTACTTTCGTGTCAATCCAATATAACGTGGTTCTCTTATTACGCTGTTTCCATATAATTGGCTTAAGAACTATTTCAAAAAGAGACTTTAGAATACATAGTTTAGAGAAATTTATGGAATTAATTGATACATTTACCTTAATTGCATTGGTAGATGAAATTAGGGATAAACTTACAATTTCAATTTGAATTATGATTTCATGTATATTTAGTTGCATATATTTCACAAGTTTTCTATTAATTTTATGCAAACCGTCGATCCGCCAACTGAGATTTCAAAGGAATTTCACTAGTCTATGTTAGTATTTAAATATATCAAACAACACTTACATTATTACAAAAAAAAAACAGTAAATACATTGTCTATCCTGGTATCGTTTTATATAAACGATCGATACTTAATTGATAAAGTTAAATCTCTAGAAAAATCAAGGTGATAATAAATTTAAAAATAATATTTATTAATCCGTTTAATTCTATATATATACTTTTCAAAAACTTGATTAATCAAGATTAAAAAATCATCACTGATCTGGTAATATCTAATGAAATGCATTACTTTCTTTTTATTTCTATTTTAGAATGAAGTTAATTAAAATTAAATGACTTTCAGTATTGCACAAGTCGTCACATCTAAACCAATATTTTCTTAATAAATAATTTATTTATGTTGACAAAGAATTTTTTAAAAAATGGAAGCTGCATTCAAATAAGCAGGTCGAAGGTTCTGTTTACAAAATGTGTTTGGAAAATATGTTCCTATAGAAGCCTTCGCTTACGTCTATAAACTTTCAATTCGCAACGCCTGACGAAGAATACGCAATTACTGAATTATGACTGATTTCTATTTAGATGCCATTTAATTGCGCCTACCTTGATGACTTTTAAAGTACCAAAAATTAACGTTTTTTCCAAGTGATTACAATTTAGAAAAGACATTTTATTTATTTTAATTTATATCTCTTATATGTAAGAAAAAGTTAAACTATTATTAACAATTATAGTTAACATTAAAGTTGTTTTATTACATAAACTGGAATTCGTACCTGTTTCATACAATACTCACTGATGTTTTTGATTCTGCTAAAACATTAACAAAGTTATTTACAACAAACGCTATTTATTAAATTAATTTCATGGATTTCCATTTAACTTGTCGTCTGTGTTGTTTGTTGTTGAATCTCCATGAGTCAACTCATAAATGTGCTAATTCCATAGGTATTCTCCATATTGTGCAATAACAAAAAAAAAAACTTCTTTTTCTGTGGTTTGTAAAATTTTCATTCATAATCAGAAACTTTCTTCCTAGAAAAAACAAACACTTTTTTATCCTATAAAAATTGTAAAAGAAAAAAGATTTTGTTGCTAAAATTAAGTAAAAAAAACAATATTTTAGTATTATTATATTAATATAATGATTAATAATTACAAACATTAAACATAATTAGACTAATTGATTCGATTATTTATCTATATTTCTATTTTAATTATTGTAATAAATAAATAAAGTTTACATAATTCACAATATCAATCAATGTTTTCTTTTCTTTTAAATATTTCTTATTATT